CAGCTTTGGCCTGCTCTGAAAAAGGCATCTGAGGGCATTTCCCTACCTTGTGGGAGAGTCTTCAAAAATCACAGCCAGTCCAAGCAAATATGTATCCTTGCTCTTCGTATGGCCTGTGTTTAGATGTCCCCCCAAGGCTTCATGTGGTCATAGGAGGGGTTTTTCCAAAGTGGCTGGATCTAGATTTTGTGACACTGGGATTGATTCACGGTGAATGCTAGGATCAAGGGCACTAGGATTAAGGGTGTGAGTGCTACCTGCTCTGAGTATCCTGGAGAAGATAAAAGGGGCAGAAAGGTATGTTAAACTCCCTTGCTTGCTTGCCCTTGCTGTCATCTGCTTGCCATAAACTGCTTCTACTCTGACGCCCCTCTGCCAAGCCACCCTGCCTTGGAGCCAGCTGATGATGGATGGAAAACTCTACAAACGTTCCCCCTTTAACTGTGGGTGTGAGACATTTTGTTTCAGCAAGGAGAGAAAAGTAACTAAGGCACTTGTTTTCAAAATTCTTTACAAACAAATATGGTGCTGCAGACTCAAAGTGCCAGGGGGACAGCACAACATTAAGAGAATCTCAGCCTCTTAATGAGAACATCTCTTGGCTAAATCTTAAGATACTAAATTTCAGTTTTTCATAAGAAAACTGAAAGCTAAAATCTTGTGTTAATACAAACAATGTATTAAAACTCACAGCCAGTCCAAGCCAAAAAAAATCTACCCATCCATCCATCTACCCTTGGCAGTGGGCTGACTGGCCATGCAGAAGTTCAGAAAAATTATTGCTAATGAGTCACTCCTGGGACATCATGGGCTGGTGCCGCTACTCCTTTCTGAGCACATTCATGGCCCCTATGTGCAGTGTTATCCGATGCTCAGCTTCTGGGGCAATGCTGGGGTGACTTCGCTTACATGCCTGCCGCAGCACGAATACCATAGGTTTGCCAACACTAGCTCAGGCCACCTGAGTGTAGGGTGTTAAAGAAAACCCCAAATGCAGTCATCTCCAGAGGGGTAAACCCATCTAAACCATGATTATACATGTGATTGGCTGGGACTTTACACCTCTGCATTCCAAGACATAACATCATGACTTGATAAGGCTGTTGAGACAACAGTCGTGGAGGCAGGTGGGGTCAGTAGAGTCACAACTTCTCAGAGAGTCAGAACTGACTCGGGAAAGCAGGTGTATGAAAACAAGCAGATGTGGAACAGAGGAACAAACTAGCAGTAAGTGGTGCTTTGCTTAGGTAGAACTGGATCCTAAAAACCATTTGGCCCCACCC